GCAGAGGTAAGTCTCCATGTTTGATTAGTTTAAAAGGGATATTGTTTGGGCTTGAGGATTTCCTTGATTTAATTTGCATTATAGCTTGCTTGAATTCTTGAAAAGTAGGCCTTGAATTCATCCATAGCTGTGGAGGTTGATTGTGAACATTTCTTGGGAAATACTCAGCTGTGGTTGAGTTTCTAGTTCGGAGGGTGAAAAAATGTTCCTTCCAGTGTAGGATTATCTCTTGTGAATTGGTCAGGGTGTTTGTTTATCAACTACTAGAAGAGATTACTGGTCCAAATACTTCTTTCATTGTAGCATAGAGATTTCTGAGATCACGTGCATCTGCATAGCCCAAAGTTCAACTGCATTTTGTTGCCACCAAATGTTCTGCAGTTCTCTTAATTGTTTGACATTCCTGTTTTTGCTTCTGGAAATACTTCTTTTTGTAGTCTGGATATTTGGTCTAGTTCATGAGTTAGACAAGCATTATTTTTTGCCTCAATCAGGTTGTTGATTTCATTATTGTTTTTATCAAACCAGTCTTAATTCTTTGGTTTGGCAAAGCTGATAACAGTATTTGCTGTTTCTGTGATTATATCATGGATTGTTGTCCATTCTTCATTGACAGATTGATCGTTGACTGGGTTAGAACTAAGTTCCTGACTTAATTTGGCTTCAAAAGAGATTGCAGTGTAAGAGGTCTGGAGTTTGAGATCTCATATTTTCTGCAAGATGGCAGTTGATGTTGGATTTTGTTTGTTTTTTTGTTTGTTTGTTTTTTTGTTTGTTTGTTTTTTTTTTGTTTGTTTTTTTGTTTGTTTGTTTTTTGTTTGTTTTTTTTTTGTTTGTTTTTTTTTTGTTTGTTTTGTTTGTTTTTTGTTTGTTTTGTTTTTTGTTTGTTTGTTTTTTGTTTGTTTTGTTTTTTGTTTGTTTTGTTTTTTGTTTGTTTTGTTTTTTGTTTGTTTTGTTTTTTGTTTGTTTTGTTTTTTGTTTGTTTTGTTTTTTGTTTGTTTTTTTTTTTTTGTTTTTTTTTTTTTTTTTTTTGTTTTTTTTTTTTTTTTTGTTTGTTTTGTTTTTTGTTTGTTTTTTTTTTTTTGTTTTGTTTTTTGTTTGTTTTGTTTTTTGTTTGTTTTTTTTTTTTGTTTGTTTTTGTTTTTTTTGTTTGTTTTTTTTTTGTTTGTTTTGTTTTTTGTTTGTTTTTTTACAAACAGGGATTCTCTTACACATGGTGAGGCAATGATCTGTCCAATAGTCATTGGTATTGGTGATGAAACGTTTCTTTTGTCTTTTTGCCATATGATGGCATAGTCTAACAGATGCTTGCTGCACCTTCTTGGGCTAACATTTTTTGCTGACATTAAGTGGAAATATTATATTGAATCAATTGTTACATCTACTGCTAGAAAAGTTGGCTCACTGTGTCATGCTAGACAATTTGTCTCTCCAGAACATACATAAGTCTACATATACATAAATCTTACATAAGTCTACCATTTGTTCATGTTTTGAATATTGCTGCCACATATGGTCTGGTGCTCCTGGTATATATTTAGAGATTCTTGATAAAATACAAAGAAGAATCTGCAATGTTATTGGCTGTAATCTGGCATCTCGGCTTCAGTCACTTTCCCACCACTTTAATGTAGCTTCCCTGTGTCTTTTCTGTTGATACATTCATGGTAATTCTTCTGATGATCTTTCCTCTAGGGTACCTAGAATTTGTCTTCTCACAGGACTTGTTCAACCTATACAGCAAGGCGATTCTGAGAGAATTAGAAGTTTCTTTGATACTCTAACTACAGCCTTCCTAATTCTCAGCTATTTTGAACAAAGACAACATTACAACAATAATTTTGGAAATGATTTTTCATCTGACCTTATTTCTTATTACTATACACTTTTATTTTTAGTAGGTACATGTGTTTGAATTGCTGTCCTTATAAAGCATGTATTGGGATAAATCCCATATCTGGTACAAAGCTATAGGCAATACCTCTAATTAAAATGTTGCCAATATCCTGACTATTCAGACATTTCAGTTTAGTACAATGGAAATAAAAAGTGGTTATTTTTTTTCATCTATAGAAGTACTCTGAAGTTCATCTATCATATGAGATAGGAAGTCGTAGAGAGCCATGATCGCTGATGTCATGAAGTGACTCAGCATGTAGAAAAAGTCTACCTAAGGATATGAATATTTTTATAATGCAGAAGCACCTTGAAATTTTGCAGTTTTCCTCACTCACCGCTCCCTTTCTCTTTTATCTGCCCCCCCCATATTTTATTTAAATGTGTATGATGTCTGTACATTCAAGACCAGAATTCATTTTATCATTTAAATAGAAATGCAAAAATAAATGACTGCTGTATAAAAAAAAAAAAAAAAATTGTGTATTTTTATATATATATATATATATATATATATAAGGACTTAGCATACAATTTGTTCCTAATGTCAAGAAACTGTGTCATCATTAAATTGTTATGCGATGTACTCATCACAAGATGTCTTCACCTCTCTCCCACATTAATGTAACTCTTTTAAGCACAATGTTAAAAAGGTGTATTTTGTTTTTGGGTGGGGCATAATGGGGTAAGATAAATAATTTTCTACCTAAAAAAAAAAAAAAACCAACTGGGAGGTTAAAATACTTTCTCTTACAAAACCTGTTCCTTTTTTTTTTTTTTTTTTTAGGTCATCTTTGAATATTTGAGTTTCTCTTAAAATATCTCTTAAAGAAAAAATATCTTCCAGCTAATCTTTTCAGCACCTAAATTTCACACCATTTTTAGTTTTACTTTTATTTAAATTTGGTTCTTACATTTTTAAATATTTTTACATAGAGGATTTTCATCTTGCAACACTATTATTGTAGGATTTACAAGTCAGTAATAGATGTGTGGTACTTTTGGACAAGTTGAAAAAAATTAACAAGCAAAATTTTTCTTTTATTTACTTAACAGGAATTTAGTTAAGATAAATGGAAAAGACAGATAAATAAATAAAAATATGGAATTTATGACAGAATTTCTGGATGACCACACGACACATTTATTCGCGAACATGGAATTAGCCAGACAATAGGACTCTGTTTCGTAAAAGTGTCTATACTTAGTAAAAGAAGAAAATTGTTTGAACAGCCATAAATTTTATGTGGTTGAAGACCAGAAATTAAGCCAGAATGGATTCCGGTCAACCAAGCAATCTTACCTAATAAAGAAATTCCAGAATTTAATTTTTTTTCCAATTTGGGACGTTCCTTATTTTTTTTTTAATACATTTTTGTGAAACAGTTTAATCTATTTTCCTTTGTGGCTTTTCAGAGGCAAACAGGGAGAAAATAAATATTTATCTTAAATGCTTAACTTTTATAACTTTAAATGATTTTTGTTAAACAAATGTTTTCTTTAAATAATTATACTTTTCTTACAGAAACAATTTCTTGTTTATAAGTATTTGCTTAAAATAAATTATTTAAAACCGTATATATCCATTTGTTTATTCATTTAAGGTAAGTCTGTTTTAGAATAAATAAAATTTATTTTTTTCTGATAGATCACCCAATACAAGGCCCAAGGGCCACACAAAATAGAGCTATAGAGTGGTATTATAAAGGAGAGTGTAATAGACATCGGTTGACCCTGGACTTATGAACCAAGCTTGTACTTGTCAGGGGAGCATTTTCTTGGTAGTTTATTACACAATGTAACAGTTCTGGGGAAGAAACATTACCTTCTTAGTTGGATAAATTCATGTGCAATATACAATATTGCATTATGATGCCTTTAATAATATCTTGGACCATATTACACAACTGTACCTTACGCTAACATTTATAACTTCAAAAGATTTTTATGTGTATTCAAAGTTTATTTTATTGAGTCAGTTGCGAGATCTGCTGCTCAGAAAGTTGGTTCATTGTGCTAGACAATTTTTCTCATCAGAATCTATCTTGCACATAATTTTACTATTCATCCATGCATTGAATATTGCTGTGACGTCAGGTCTGGTGCTTCTGCTAAGTATTTAGAGATTCTTGATAAAATACAAAGAAGAATCTGCAATTTTATTGGTCCTGACCTGGCATCTCAACTTCAGTCTCTTTCCCACTGGTCTAACGTAGCTTCCCTGTGCCTTTCCTATAAATATTTTCATGGTAATTGTTCTGATCAGCTTTCCTCTTTCATACCTAAACTTTATAAATTTAAACATACTACTAGATTGGCAGATCGGTCTCAACATTTTAGAGTTGAAATGGCTAGACGTCACGACAAGTTCTGTGCTAACAGTTTCTTCTCTTGCACTTCTCACTTGTGAAACGCTTTCAGATTCTTGCATTCCAGTCAACTTTGGCCATCAAAAAATTAAATGCAGGGTTAATCATTATATCCTGTCTTCTTAATTCCTGTTCTTTTATTGTTCCTTTTCCTTCATAATGTTTGCTTTTTCTCATGCTCAGTAACCCTTTGCAACTTAGTAGCTTTATTGCCTTGCCTGGGATGAAATGATTCCTAATGATTTAACCAGATAATATAAGAAATGCTAAAAGTAACAAACAGAATAAGAGAAATCTGAGTAATTAAAATATTACAAGTTTGATGTGACTTTTAATTTGCTGAGATAACATTAACATCAAAAAAAGCATATATTGTTTGCTTGGTCAATGAATGCTGAATGTTTCCTTATAAGGAAACTGCTAATATTACCATTACAATCATTTTCAAATTGCTGTGTTACCTGTCTATATTCCTGAGATGAAATATTGTAACTATTCATACTATTTACATTGTTTGGACTGTTGTCCTCATGTTTATTGCCATATTCAGAATGTTTCAGTTGTTGTATGCTCCGACTATTCTTCAGGTGATATTTGTTGGAATTTTGAAATCTTGAACTAAAGAAAGAACAAATGTCACCTGAAGAAGGCCGGAGAGTACAACAGCCAAAACGTCGTGAATATGGCAATAATGATGAGAACAAGAGTCTGAACAATGTAAATAGTGTAAATAAAATGTTATTTTTATTAGTAAACAGCAAATTTGAAAGAACTCTTTTTTTTTTTTTTTCACTCTTTATTCCCTCTCTCTCTCCTGTTTATTCCCTCTCTCTCTCCTGTTTATTCCCTCTCTCTCTCTGTTTATTCCTCTCTCCCTCTCTCTCCTCCTGTTTATTCCCTCCCTCCTCTCCTGTTTCTCCTCCTCTCTCTCCTGTTTATTCCCCCATCTCTGTTCACCCCATCTCACTCTCTGTTTATTCCATCTCTCTCTCTCTCCATCTCTCTCTCCATTCCATCTCTCTCTCCTCCATCTCCTCATCTCCATCTCTCTCTCTCTCCTGTTTATTCCACTCCTCTCCTCTCCTCCATCTCTCTCTCTCTCTCTCTGTTTTATTCCATCTCTCTCTCTCTCCTGTTTATTCCATCTCTCTCTCTCTCCTCTCCATCTCTCTCTCTCTCTCCTGTTTATTCCATCTCTCTCTCTCTCTCTTCCATCTCTCTCTCTCTCTCCTGTTTATTCCATCTCTCTCTCTCTCTCCTGTTTATTCCATCTCTCTCTCTCTCTCTCCTGTTTATTCCATCTCTCTCTCTCTCTCCTCTCTCTCTCTCCATCTCCTCTCTCTCTCTCTGTTTATTCCATCTCTCATCTCTGTTTATTCCATCTCTCTCTCTCTCCTGTTCCATCATCCTCTCTCTCTCTCTCCTGTTTATTCCATCTCTCTCTCTCTCTCTCTCCATCTCTCTCTCTCTCTCCATCTCTCTCTCTCTCTCTCTCTGTTCCATCTCTCTCTCTCATCTCTCCTCCTCCATCTCTCATTCACTCCATCTCTCATTCACTCCATCTCACTCTCTCTCTCATTCACTCCATCTCACTCTCTCTCTCATTCCATCTTTTTAATCTTTTCTTAAATCAATAATCCAGTATTGATATATCAATATTTTATTTTTAACCCTATCTCTAAAAACCGACTCAAAAGTTATTAGAGATGGTATGTTTCTGAGTCAGCATGTGTTAAAATTTGTCATATGCCCCCTGTCATCATTCCATTTCTTACTCTCTCTCTCCTCAAAACCTCCTCCCAAAAAGACCAGAATAGTGAGTATACAAGACTCACTCCATACACTTCTTGTACACTCACCATTCCAGTAATTTTTCTTCTTTTCTTTGGCTTTATCACAATTAAGAGATCCCAAAAAAAGAAAATCAGAATTTTCTAAAATTATATTTTCTAATTACAATGATGTGGCATTAATATATATTTAAAAACAAGTTTATTAACATATTTACTGAAAATTTCTCAGTCCAACCAAGAAGTGATTTTAAAATCTGCTGTTTGGCTATTTGGTTAAATTTGTGAAGTGGTTGGGCCCAAGAACATTTCAGCAGCTCTCGTATATCCAAATGCAAATGACTTGGAGGCTGATTTTAACCAAATTTGGTAATTATTAGAATAGTACATCAGTTCTCAGCACTTTTTTTTTTTTTTTTTTTATTATTACATATTAAAGGCATTTTTCAAAGTAATTTTAAAGTTTACTCAATTCTTTGTTAGCCAACTTAGGAAAAACGCAGAAGCTAAGCAAACTGTTTTACATGAATTTAAAGAAACAAGTATTGGTCAGTGTTGAAATATTGCCTGGTGATGAGAAATGTATTTATTACAAGAATCTAAAATTGTGTCTAGATCCATAAAAGCCAACAACATCTCAACTTATCATAACTGATTGCATGTAAAATCGTTTTTCCTTATTAAAAAAAAAAAAATATTGTATAACTTATAAATATATGCCATGTTTAGATTTCTGGAGGCTAATGTTTACTTGGCACCAGAAACCAATATCTTTCATAAAAGGTCATGTCAATTTGTAGATGATGTATTACAGTGTTTATTTACACTATGTATTACAGTGTTTATTTACACTGTGTTACAGTGTTTATTAGAATGGTTGGAGAAACATCAATTGCCAGCTGATTTGGACTTTATAAAATGCTGAATAAGAATTTTCTTATAGTTGGTTCACATATTTTAATAATTTAGTAAATATCTATAAATTTACAAATAAAAAATTTTCATATTTATTTCTTTATAAATTGGGAAATAATAAATATTACATTACATTAGTCTTAATTGTATTAGTTTTTAGAATGTTCTAAATAATCTAATAGTGTTTAATATTTTTGTTGTAAATTCTCAATTGCAAAAAAAAAAGCATAAATTCACTTTCATTATATGTTTAGGTTTTATTACTATTTTAATCATCACTTTAAAAAAAAAAAAAAAAAGAAAACATTGCCAAAGAGTGAAGGTAGTTAAAATAATAGCAATGTTGAAGGAAAAAAAAAAACATCCTCTTGACACTGTTTTTTTGCAGGCATGAAGGTCCAAGTTTACCATAAAGAAATCTGGAGAACTGTGATTGCCAAAATATGTCATAATTCTGTTTCTCACTGTCTCTCTTGCCTCAAAACTCCATTCACTCAGACCTGTGCACTCCTGATTCTAGTTTTCTATTTTGGCTTAGATTTTTTTTTTTAATTAGAATATCAAGTTTACAAAGGCATTTTCATTATAAAGTGTTAAAGGCAGTAAAAGAGAAACATAATAAAAGCATTCCATCATCTTCAGAGCTAAAGAAAAATGAAAGATCTCCAGGAGGATATATTGGTAATTGTCTCGGCTACCAATATTATTTGGCTGATAAAGTTGCTACAACATTAATGATGCCAGAAAATTTAGAATCATATCCTTTAAATGGCAGTAAAGAACAATGTCCCTCTTTTTTCCCCTACAACCAGCCAAGTGAAGAAGAATTGGTTTCTCAGAAAGAGGAAGAAAAGAGGAAACCCTTCACAAAAAAGACTAAACATCAGTTATTTGCTTTGTAGCATTGATTTAAATGAAAAAGATTTTTTTTACTTAAATCTCTTAAGTCACAATCTGTTGTTTATTTAAACCTTCCTTTGTTCATAAAATTACAAGACATGCTGAATTAAATATTTATTTCTGATTACCAATTGAATAAACATTTTCTCTTAAGTCCAGTAACATGATTAATAACTAAAAGAAAAAAAGAAATTTTGACTAATACTTGTCTAATTTAGTTAGAACAGGTATTACCTTTTGAATAACCCTTGTACAAACTGACCTTGATTTTATCCTTATCTTTTAAAGTTTTCTTCTACTTTCAACAAATTGTCTATTTCTCCTTGTTAAGATTGTTCAACATCCACCTTATTGAACCATCATTGATCTGCATATTTTTTTTTTGTTGTTTCTTCAAAATAAAATCTGCGGAACAGAAAGGCTTAGCATATATTCAGCCAATCCCATGGCTTAATAGATATTAAATGGTTGAACGCTTCTGAAATTGCTGTTTCAAGAAAATATTATCATTTCTTAACCTTTAATTTAAACAAAAATTATTTTACCAGACCACCTACACATAAATATGCTTTTACTTGTGCATTTCTGTATTATTTTTTTAAAAAACCATTCATTTCTAACATGATTCAGTTTGAATTTCCTCTATAAAATAATTCTTTTCACAAATTATTCAAACTAATGTTTGTTGCTTTTATCAATATAGTTTTGATATGTTTTGCCCTTCCTTGTGTCTATAGTGCATCTAGCCTGTCTTAATGTATCAATGTATTCAATTACTTTTTTTCTAGTATATGATTAGTGTAGTTGATGCATATAGAATTGTTGTGGAGTAATTAGCCATGTTTAAGCGTAATTGGTAAAAATGCTGAATGGAATTGACAGTTTTCAGTAAACAATAAGAAAAGTAAGAAAAAGGACAGGACAAAATAATACTAGGCAAACAATATATGTGCAAGTTAAAACTAAGTAAAGCAATAGTAATAAGACAAAATGTTCACAAAGTAAAAATAGTCTTCACAAGCAAAAGGGATACAGTCAAGTGATTTTCGTGTTTTGACTTCAAAACAAGAATAAAAATATGAGATGAGACCAAGAAGTGGTCTATTTTTATTCGTTAGGAAGAAATCCCAGAATACATCTAAGATTTGTCTGTAGGTTTGTGAAAGGGTATTTTTTAGCAGTCATTCCCAAAGTTGAAATCAATACCTTCCTTGGGTTTGTAGTGCATCTCAAGAGCTTTTCAAATAAGAAATGAGAATATTTGTGATTTTTCTATATATATCTGATCAATTCTCACAGGAACATAAGATTGTACTCCAAACTTGTGGCCTGGTACCAAACTAATCTTAATCTAGCATAAATGAGGGGGGTATTCACTGGAATTAAAACTCAATATTCTTATTTATGAGAATATGAGTCTCTGCTGTGTGAACATGCAAATTAAAACTGTTAAAATAACATACTGGATATCCTGAAAGGATGTTATGTTGCATTATCTATACTATTATTCTACTTGCTTGTATATATGGCTAATATGCTTTTCTACCTAAGATCAAAGTGTAGTATCTGTCCAATACTCAGACCCATAAAAAATTGGATAAGAACAAGTAAAAATGTTGAAACAATCATTGATTTTTGTTGTGATTAAAAAAAATATAAGTCAAGGAATACTGAAAAGTATAAATTTATTTCAGTATCTTTATACAAATTTTCATTGAATAATGGGTGGTAAAACTTTAAAAAAAATCACAAAACTAGGCTAAGAGAAAAATAAAGCCTAAAAAAAAATCAGAAAGAATTAGAGAAACAAGATATAGTAAAAATCAATATTTGCTGCTACACTGCTAATGGAAAAAAAAACAAAAGTATAGTGAAATTTCTTCCACTTGACAATCTTATTTCAAAAAATTTTAAAATCTGCTTTTCTTAGCTTTTTAACTGATATCATTTTACTTTCCAAGTTATCTCCCTTTTTAACTTCCTCTTTCCATTTTTGTATATCTGATTTTATTTGTAATTTTATTGATGCAAGTTTTATCTACTTTCAGACAATGGCCTTCTCCAGCAGCAAAGTAACAGAAGACAGTAGTTAGTCTGTTCAATTGACAGAGCCTACAGAAGACAACAGGTCAGTATCAAAATAAATGCAAACCTATAACTCCATTTTTTTTTTTTTTGACAAGGCTCAATAGACAATCAAGTTAAACCGTTACTGTTTTTTAATTTAATGTTGACTCTGTACAAGGCCCAAGAGCCACTCGAGGTAGAGGCTTACAGAGTAAAATGCACAGTTTATGTGGGGAAGATAGTTGTTAACTCTAGTCTTGACCAGGTTAAGATTGTAGTGATTGGGGAAGCATCTTCTTGGGAGTCTTAACTTACATCTTACCAGTGAACTACAAAGGGAATAAGAATGGTTTGCTACAATGTATGTGGCATGGTAGTCTTAGCCATAAAGTGGTGGTACTAAGGAATGTAATTTGTCTGAACACTTTCCATGAAAATAGCAATAAAGCAGCGAGGGGCATGCAAAATTTTGTCTGTGTGAATGTCTTCAGGGAAGAGTCTACTTTACAAAGCAGCTGTTTTTATGGAAATGCTACTAGTGGAACTCATTCGTTACATTTGGAATACAGAGTAAATGAGGGTGATTCAATCCCATAGAAATAGCATGTCTTAGCAATAAAGGCATGAACTAGTGAAGCTAAAGAATGGAAATCATATGAACATTTGCAATGGAAATAGCGATAGAGTAGTGATGGGTTTGTGATAGTGAGTCTGTTGGAAGAAGGTTGCAGTGTGGAGAATAAGTTTTTTTCCAATTACAGTCAGGTTTGTTACTAAGTTTTAGAGAAAATGGAAACAAAATGGGGCATTTATACTTTGCATTAGAAAGGAATTGTTGAAATCTAATGCACTTAATGGGGGTGGGAGGCTTTGAAAATTTGACACTCACAAGATATACTCAAGGTAAGAGAGACAGATGAAAGGAGAGATAGGGAAAAGACAAAATTTAATAAGAGC